TTACTGGTCTACCTGTTCTATATATAATATAGAAATCTGAAATAACCCAATGTTGTATTTAGCATGTTCCCCTAATTTTATACTTACAGTAGCGACTCGTCCTCGCTTCAGTCGGGTTTGTCGCTAGTACGTTTAAAATGTTAGTATGGAATAGATAAACTATTATATATTTTATAATATAAAGCCTATATAATTCTTCAATAAATGGGTTATCTAATGCAAAAATAATTTTTCAAATCGGATTAGTAATTCCTAAGATTAGGACGTTCAAACAAACAAACTCTGCCTCTTTATAATGTTAGTATAGATATATTATTATTATTATTATTATGATTGATGAATTTGAAATTATAAATGTAATGGAAAATAATTATACAGAACCATAATTTACTAGAAAACAGATTCATTTTTGATAATTTATTAACAGTAAAAAAAAGACTAACATCAGGATTATTAATAACATTTGCTAAAATGCTTTGGGTATGAATATTTACATGGATATGTCACCCAGTGAATAAATATCGACGAAGCACGTATCAAAAGTAGGGACAAATTTTAATATCTACGAGAGGAAGGGAGGCTCGGCAATGGCTTTATGCCACACATTGTGAGTCCCCACTTCGCGCGATCATAGAATTACCATAACTTCAAAATATTCTAAACGATATTAGACCCTTGAACCAATTCTCTAGCGACTTCATATAATATATATGCGATAAAATTATATATGTAGGTTGTTTTCGGTATATCTGTTTTGCTTAGCGGGTTCCGTTGTAAGTAATCATTGTTACATTCAATTTTTAAATATTATGTTATAAAGAGTCAGAGTTTGTTGGTTTAATTGTTTTTTGTTTGTTTGTTTGTTTGTTTGTTTGTTTGTTTGTTTGTTTGTTTGTTTGTTTGTTTGTTTGAAAAATCTTTTTGTATTAGATAGCCCGTTTATTGAGGAAAGCTATAGGCCATATATCATTATGCTTTTAACCAAGGAAGCAGAGCAGTAATCCTAAATCGGGCAGATACGTTATTACTAATAGCATAAAGCTAAAGAGTTTTTTTTTCTAATCTTAGCGCGAGCGAAGCGGCGGGTTCTACTAGTTTTTATATAAAACATAACATTTTCGTCGCACTACTATTATTTAGAAACGTTTGTTTATTTGATTGAAATTTAGTGCATAGAAAGAAGTAGATTATGACCTGGAGTACCTAATACATGGGTTAATGTTACTACACTTACACCACTTACTTTCGCTTCGTTGTTGTGTCGTTCCCTAAATATCGAACAGAAGCTTATGTGTATATAAATAAATATCTGTAATCTATACATCTATACATATAATAAAGTTGTAACTAAGCCGAATCTGTACATTAAATATGTTTTGGAATATGGATGTCTGTTACGCATCACAGAAAAACCGCTAAAGAGATTTTGATGAAATTTGGTATGGTGATAGCTGGTTATCTTAGTCAACACATAGGATACTTTTTACCGCGGGAAAATGTCTCATTTCTGAGAAAAAATACAAAAACTGCAATATAAGAAAAGTATACTACTCGTAATATGTAAAACCTAAGAATTTGATTTTTGGTCATCTGAACGCGGGCGGAATCACGGGCAATGCTAGTCTATACATAAATTGTTTGTCTATGATTTCAAAATAACTATGTTTTTTCAAGTATATAGAGTTTTTAATATGATATTCTTTTTTTAAACTTTCTCTGTCTGTTTGTCTGTTCGTACGGGATAAGCTTTGGAACGGCTTCACCAATTGTTGTTCTGAAAGATAGAGGAGTTTGTAGGTATATATATATGGTATGTTTTATCCCAGATATATTTAGGGTATCTGCGCAAAAATAGAAAACCCTTAAAAATTACGCGAAATTCGAATTTATGATTTCACGAAAAAGTCCGCAATAGTGTATTTCCTAAGGTACAATCTAAGTCACAATAATTATTTTTATCTATTGAAAACGAACTAAGGAACGCACTCGAGTGAAGCGAGGGCAAACCTAGTTATAATAAAATGTTAAATGAAATTATTATGTTATGTTAAGAGAACATAAACTGTCTATATTTTTTTCTCTGCTAACCCATCAAGAAAATCTAGTTAAATATAATTAATGGAAATCTAAAACAAGTAAATTTAATTTTTAATTTAATTTTAAACACTTAATCGTCATATCGTTAATTTAGTATTAATTTATTAGTAAACTGGCGACTCATCCTCGCTCCGCTTGGGTTTGTATTTTACGTTTCAACGTTTAATATAGATTTCTCAGAGATGAGATATTTTCCCGCACTAAAAAGTATTCTATACGCTGACCCGGATAACCAACTATCATCATACCAAATCTCTTCAAAATCCCTCCAGTGGTTTTTTCGTGCTGCGGTCATAGACATACAGACAGGCAAAAATTCTAAAAACATATAGTTTCGGCCTATGTATGGATATGACTATTTCATTAAGATTGTCCAAAAAAATATTGAATGTACAGTTTCGATTTAGAATTTTCTTGTACGTATAGACTAGCGACTCATCCTCGCTTTGCTCGGGTTCGTCCCTAGTCCTTATAATATCAACTACCTGACAGTGAAAGTCCCGTCAAAATCACCCTTGCTGTTTCGGAGATTAGCTGGAACAAACAGATAGACAGACGGACAAAAATTTTAAAAATTGTTTTTTTCACCAAAAATACCTTATATAATTCCAATTTCCATATACATTTAGTAAAAAGCTGTTATTTTGATATTGCAAACAGATACTTCAATTTTATTTATCTGTATAGATTTTTGTTACAAATATTTTTGATTACAATTACTTTTGTTTTATTAAATACCTTAACATTTAAAGTGATTTTTAACAAAAGAGCTTTTATTGAGTGTTCGAGAGCTTTTCTCATCTTTTCATGAATTCTCAACGAACTTATTTTCTACCTTTTAGTATTTTTTAACCGACTTTATAAAAGTTTGAGGATTCGGGTGTTACATGACGTTAATTGACTTTCATTATTTTTTAATAAATTTGACAAATGACTTGGTAGAAAAATCTGCTATAATATTTAAAATGATTTTAGCATAATTTTTCCTTGTAGTGAAAATTATATCAAAAATAGATAAACATAAGTATTTACAAGATAAATATGAACGATAATATTCTAATTCATATGAAAAACCACTATGATATAAAATTACAAACGTAAACATTAGTCTCTTAACTACCCGATGTTTACTCGAGCACATGTATGAACAAAATATGAGAACACTTGCTATATTTTGGAAGACCAGCCCCCTGTAGGTTGTAATTTATTTTTTCTAAACAGCCATTAAGGACGCGAATCATCTAAACTGAGAGTGGCAGGTCAGAAGGGAGGGAGGCTCAAGGGTGTAGCCCCTTTCTATTTTCGGCTCTTGAGTTATCGTCCGGCGAAACATTCAAGACCTTTTTACCAAAATTCGCGTTTCGTTTTACGGCTACCTTCTAAGCATGCCGGATAAATTATTCAATGAAAGTATTTCGATCCTGACGTGGTTTTATTAAAGGTATTACCTATTTATTTTTATCGATTTATTGTATTTAAAATTGTATTGAAATTCTATATGAGTATAATAAAATTTATGTATTTTTCCGTATGTAATAAAATTACTTCGTTGTTTCGTTTTTGTGTGAAAGAACAATAAAATAAAAAGATAAACAAGTTTTTGCTCTTATGATATTGGAAAAACTAGCATAGTCTTACTGTAGCATTATTTTACTCATAAAATTAATATAAATAAATTAACTTAGAAATAATATAAATATATTAATATTTTTTGCTTATGAATATTTTTACTATTTCAGTATAAAACATCAAGAAAGCCTACATTTAGATTTTCAACAATCAAGATATCTGATCTTAACTGGTAACATTGTTACATAGACGGCGAAACATCCTGCGAATGCCTAAGCCACATGTCTCGACCTAGTCAAAAGCCTTCTAAAACATGTTAACAATACAATTTCTTGAATAACATCGCGCAAGACAAGAGATTCGTAATAATCAACCGCGTCGCATAAACTGAGTTCACTTGCCTCTAAATATCTGGCGAGGGTGAGTGAAAGGGAGGACTGTATCTTGATCCGGAGCTCCCCCATAGCGTACTATGAAAGGACGGGAGGGAATTTTAGGTTAGTGGACATGTAGACATATAGAAGGGAACACGGCAAGTTTGTTGCCTAGTTTAGTTCGTGTGGTGTGTTTCTTTTGTACGTCAGGTCATCGTTAGTCGTTGTCTTGTGATTTTAAATAATTAAAATTGTACGTATAATAATATAAGTGTTACCGTAAGTTTGTTGGGTTAGATTAAGTTTAATTAAACATTTGCATCGCGTTTGCGGATTGGAAAGTAAATATAAAAAAAATGTGTTTGACCATCGGTTGTTTGTAAACAGTGCCGCGTGCGCCCGCAACGTAAACACTAGCACGTTACGTGAAACTATTTTGGCGCAACGTACAATCCACCAATCAACCGGAAGGACAGCTTTTAGGAAAATCGCTCAAATAAGTACCTAAATCGTGCCAATAATACTTAAGTATATATATATAAGTGAATATAATTAAATTTTAAATAATAAAAAAATAAAATAAAAAAAAATACAAAAAATTAAGAAATCGTGAATAAAAATATAAGTTGTTTATAGCGTAGCACGTGTGAAACATTGAGTGGGTGAAATACGCGAGGTCCCTGAGCCTCTACTATAAGGATCGATAACATTACGCATTACGAGAGCGAGACGCACACATACACAATTCACGCACACCATAGCATCCAACCCTGCGCCCTCCGAAAGTAAACAGCCCGCGAAAGCTTTAAAACAAAACCGAATTTATAGAATAAGAAATTATAGTACAAAGTAACTGTGATTAACTTTTTATTAAGTCTGCTAACTGTGATAGACATGCTTGTGAGTGCGAGTTTGTGTAACCCGATGATGTTTCCGGGTTTCGTACCGCAACCGGTGAAGATGTCCACTGATGATAGCAGGCAAGAGTCCAACGCTAGTACGATGCCATCAACACCTGTCCATTCTTCAGATAAGCGTTCCTCCCCTCTGACCCCTGCAGAGCGGACTGGAGCCCCGCCAGGAGCTGGGAAAGATGCAGTGAAACTTTTTATCGGCCAGATTCCCAGGCACCTAGAGGAAAAGGACTTGAGACCGATGTTCGAAGAGTTTGGAAAGATTTACGAGCTGACCGTACTCAAGGACAAGCACACAGGCATGCACAAAGGTAATATTTTACAGGGTCAATAAAATTTGCGGGCGACTCCGGTAAGTTATGAATTTCAATTCCCCGTGCGGTCGAGTTTCGTGTAGTTTAAAAGTTTGTAGTTACTGTTTGAACGGTATTTGGATTTTATTATAGGTTTAAATATTTAAACAATGTAGAGTTCATGTGTTATTTTTAATTAAGGTTATTTCCAGCCTCACTACAATTAACTATAGGTATGTATATATTATGTGATACATATGTAAATGTATAATATTTTACGAGAACGTCATAAAATGTATTATTACTATTATATCGATTTATTTTCTCCATTGTATTAAATAAAATTAATAAACATGTAGGGACATTAACGCACAACAACATCTATGTAGTTCCATGGTAAGCTTCGAAACTTGGGTTATGGATAGATAGATAGTTGATTATAAATATATGCACCCATGACTGGAGTACAAGCATTCGTGCTCATTACATAAATGAATGCCCCCAGCAGGACACGAACCCGCGACCACTGGCACAGCAAGTAGGGTCACTAAAAATTGAGACAAACATGGCCTATACGTAATTGTATAATTACGTATAGGCCATGTTTGGCTCAATATTATATACCTACGTATGTCATAAATATTATTTTTCCAAAATGTTATTGCAAGTAAAAACTCTCGCATCAATATCGTTAATAATACATCAAACGCTTGTTTATAAATAGACGCACTGTGGAAAGTCTACTTAACTTCACTTCTCCGCGCAAACTAGCAAAAAAGAGTATAATTTATCTATTAATTTTAAATTTACACATTTAGTACATTCGAAACTAGTTTATACGTGTCATAAAAATAAAAATGCAAAATTTCAAGCAATAAAACATCTATAAGCCTTATATGTTATTACGATACTCCATATCAGCGTAAAATGAGACGGTCACGTGACCAAACAATAAAAAACGTAATTCATTTTCTAGCGTGAATTGTCGTCACGTAGGCTACAATTTATAGTCAACTTGCATTAGAAAGAAATATGAATTTTAGAAAATGGTTTCAACGTGCTCGCTTTCATGAATTTCCAATATATGTATTTATATAAATTAAATAGTAATAATAAAAAAGAATTAATAATTGTTTATCTTCTTAAATAAAAGTATCTTTTCGGATTTTTTTGGTAATTTATTTTGTTTTTGGTTTCCGATTTGATCAGTGTTTACCGTGACCATGATTGCTTTAAAGCATTCGAGACGTCGGGACTTCATGAAATTTGGTACACAGAATATCAACTGGATATATAACATATGAATTACTGCTACATGTATGTATGTATATAAAATTTTAAATCAAAAGGCATATAGGGATGCATACGAGCGAAGTGAGTTCACTTCTTAATATATTATAACCCTAATTACTCAATGTAACCTAAAGATCACCGCTTGAGTGCCGAAATGAAAACGTCTATTACTCTTATTACTATAATCGTAATATTTGTAATTACTTCCAATTTTTTTAATTGATAACACAACACAAAAGCTCGTCAATAAACGAAAATCAGTTGACAGACAGACGAGAAAAATGTATTTAACTGTTTTATCTTTGCCTATTTATATATATTGATATACTAGCAGAACCCGCAGCTCCGCCCACGATCAATCCACAAAATAATACTCACCCTTACTTCGCTCGGCTTTGTCGCTATTTATTTATATGTATAATATTGTTCATACAAAAATACTAAAATTGCGTTTAAAAAATTCGCTGCGGATAGGAGGGTGAAAAATACTTTATGATCTATTCTCATACCTACCAAATATAAAAAAAAAATCATTAAAATCGGTCGAGACGTTTCGGAGGAGTGCGACCACAAACACCGTGACACGAGATATTTATATATTAGATGTTACAGATAAGAAGATCTGCGTATTATGTACATAATATTATTTCATTTCTAATAAGTATAGCGTGATAGCAAATGGTAGGGCAATTTAGAATAAAAAAATCTACAATTAAATGCAACAGTTCACATTTTCCAGACATTTCTCGTAATTCCTTCAAAATATTTAGCTTTTGAAATTCTTAAGATAAGAGATATTATAATGGCCTTTAATTAGAACAATTATAGTTTTTATAATTTCTAAGTCTTGTTCCTAGGGTGCTGATTCAGCAATATGAACTTTAGAAAATGGTTTTGTTGAGTTCTAATATGTTTGTCCTTACAATAAAAATTAGAAATCTTATAAAATACTATAATTGCGAAAAAATGTTCTATGTTTGGTACACAGACAGAATATATGACCTGGATATATATTACATAGTATGGACTACTGCTGTTTGCACGTATGTATGTCTATAAAGGATATCGCCTTAAATGTACAGGAATGAAAAAGATGACAAAATATTATCAAACATTATAGTCAGAAATAAACTGGTAAGATATTAATAATTTTACCATATTATATCGTATGAGTCATTTTGTAGAGCGGCTTTTTCATTTTTATGATAGACTATGTCAGTGACCTGATATGTATCATCTTACTTTTTTTTATCAAATTTTTGTTCAGAATTTTACAATTTTGCAACAAATACAACAATCTGATGATTAATGAAAACAAAAACTCAATTTGTTCGTGAAACTTCTATCATAATCAACTTGCCAATTTGAATAGTTTTAATATTATGTAATGTATGCATTCACAATAATAAAAAAAAACCTACATAATCTCTAAATTTACCAATGTTTCATATTATAATAGTGAGTATTATATAGTATTATGTATATAGACAAACAGACATATACAATACATACATTCATATATACATATTATATGTATAGATAAGAATGATTCTTACTAATGTACCTATGCTTGGTGATTTTTGGGAGGGTCCCTCAGGATATCAGCTTTTTCTTTACAAAATAATTAATAATTTAGCTGACTCTCCATACCTACTAAATAAAATATCTCAGGCTATTTTCTCCACCGCTGTCTCCAGAACAAAGTATTGTGACAATTCCTTTACTGTGAGATCCTGCAATATGTATAATAGGCAATATCAAGAAATTGACTTGTTTAATAATGGGTTCAAAAAAGTCGCTTACCTATTAAAAAAAAACAAATTGTGTTAATGTTTAGTATTCTTTCTTTTATTCGATTTATTGCTGCTAATTTTAAGTTCACTTCGTTTATGTTTTTAGTGGAAACTTTATTGGCTTAAGATTTTTGTTGAGAAGTGTTTAACTAATTTTTATTAATTATACGCTGTATGTTTCTCAATGATAAATAAATAAATAAATTATTGACGACGTGTTTGGCTCAGTTTGTAGTGACCCTACTTGCTGTGCCAGCGGTCGCGGGTTCGAGTCCCGCTGGGGGTATTCATTTGTGTGATGAGCACGAATGTTTGTACTCCAGTCATGGCTGTTTATATTTATAATATGTATGTATTTAAAGTTATATTGTGTAGTGTATCAACTACCTGGTATCCATAACACAAGCCTCGTAACTTACCATGGAACTAGATGGTGCTGTGTGTTAATGTCCCAACATAATTATGTATTTATATTTACACTATGCATTTCTTTTTTTAGTTGTATTTTTTAATTAACGGTATAAATAAATAGAAAAGGCAATATAACAAAACGAAATTTGTTATTCAAAAAATAATACGACAGCAGTAAAGTGAAAATTCCCTTCCGAATTATAAAACATTCTTGCGAGAGGCGGAAAGTGACAAATTAGACACCCATATTTTTTATTTCTACGCAGTTTGTTTAGAAAACTCAATTTACATAGCTGTTGCTATTTGACGTAGACTCGGTAATGTGGGGAACGGCGTTATTATTTTTCTGTACATTATATAAAGAATTTTTTCAGAGAAATATATTGATAAATATCGATTTCAAATAAGGTACTCACTTCGGGTGGATTTTTTTTGTATAAATGCGTTATCATTGTCACTTGTATAGTTGAAGAATTTACTTCCAGCCATATATATAAGGCAGTGGTAGCCCAGTGGTAACGCGCTCGCTTGGGAAACGGCTCGCACCTATGATATTTCCATGTGCGAATCATTTCCAACATTACCACTTTTCTTAGCGGTGAAGGTAAACATCGTGAGGAAATCTGCATGCCTGAGAGAATCTAGCAAGTATTTTTCTTAATTATACAGCAATATTTAGGGTTCCGTACATATAAACAGAAATATGATATACGTGTGTAATGTAAATATAACAGAAAACATAACTTTTAATTTTATAATATAGAGTTATTACTTACAAATATAAATAGCATCTATCAAAAATATGACCCCTCGGGAAAGGAAAGGGTTCGCGCGAGGGTTTAATGATGATGACCCAACAATAAATGGGTTCTAGCCTATTTGTTTGTTGGGTTGTAAAACTCACATCTTTTTCCTATTATTTACAATATACTTGTATATTTCATATTTATCTTTTTTGAAAAATATTTATAGATGTACACAAATATACTACTATTATAAATGTAAAAGTTTATGTGCTTGTATGTTTGTTACCTACTCCTTAATACCAAAATAGCTTGACGGATTTCGATAAAATTTAGTATACGGATGAGATTACGACCTGGAGTAACATATAGGCAATTTCTATACCGAAGCGAGTGTAAATCGCTAGTATTTTATAATTTTAATGCCATTGTTTTCATCCACGTACCTTCAGTTTAGTACGAAATCATTAAAGTTCATCCATGTTTTATGTATATACCTACAAGTATATGGAGTCGTAGAATTCAGAGCTTAATCTGTAATTTTGTATCTATTCAAACAATTGAAATTAAATTTAGGTGTGTTTAAATAAATTTGTTCATATTCATATTATATAAATAATAATCTTAGTTTTCGGAAACTTTTCACCTACTGTAATGTATGAGAGTCGACAAAACTTTTAGCAATTTAAGCTAATGAATTAAGTGTTCCATAACAAGTCACTGCTGGATGATACGAAATTATTGTATTGTCATCGGTGTATACTTGTTACACTCTGTATAACAAGTATATAATGATCT